CACACGCACACACCGGAACTTGGCGCGCCCCACCTGTCACGTCTCAATTCCCCACCAGTGGGTCGCGCCACACACTTTGAGAACCGCGGCATTAGCGGATTCAGCAGCCAGGCCTTCAGAGCACATGAAGGATGTGCTTCGGCATGAAGGACATTGTGTGGTTTGTTACATCCACCAAGGTGATGTTTTCCACTGCGCTTTTTTGCAGGATTGCTTGAAAAGTTATGAACAGATTTTAAGGACATTTTTAGTGGAGGGGCCTAAGTCCAAGGATGTGGTGATGATCATTTCAGCCCTAAGTATAAGTCACAATATGGGGCCAATTTTGGCAGGGGGTGGGGTGGGGGGTTTACCATCAAGGCATTACTAGGCAGTTGCCTGGGGCCCCAAGTTCCTGGGGTCCAAACAGACAGCAGCAAACCATTTGAAAACAAACCATGCAAAGAGCAGTGTTGCCAACTTAGCACTTTAGTCGCTACATTTAGCCACTTTTCAGACCCCTCTAGCACTTTGATTTCTAAAAAGCTCCTAGCGCCAAATCTAGAGACTTTTTTCTGCTACTGGAGACTTTGGAGACAACATCTAAAAGCAGCTAACTCTGCTCTCCAGAGCAAGTAGATTGGTAACCCCGCCTCCTGCTCTCCTCTATCTTGTCTGCTGTCATGATTCATGCAGCTATTATTTCATCCAAATGAAAAATGGAGAACAGAGAAGCAGATCATGGCTTGTCTACAGTGAAAAGAAGGACTGGGTTATTTACTTTGGCCTTTTTGGAAACACAGGAAGGAGCAATCAGCTAAGTGAGCTTAGTGCTGGGAAAAAATCTTTCATTCCTTTAGAGACAGCATGAAAAGTCAGCTGAGTACAAAACATAGAGAGGAAAACAAGAAGAAAAGGGACAAGAAGAGAGGGACACAACCTAGAACAGATAATGGATGTCTATTCTATTAACATTTCTCTATCTGGATAATGGGTCTGTTCTATGTGATGTCTTCTCAATTCAGAGGGCCCCCTGCCTGTCTTTGCCCAGGGCCCCACATTTCCTAAATTTGCCCCTGGGTGGAGGTCTGCATTCTGACTTCTTTTATAATAAAATTTGCCATAATTGTAATTTTGATCATGTGAATAGAGGAAGTAAAAGTAAAACGGGCCTGAAGTACCTGAGTAACTCAGTGATCAGAAGGAGCCTCTGCTGGTTCAAACCATCAGAAACACAAACCTGGAAAGTTCCTCATTTGAAGGTAAAACCTTCGACTTTCAGGAGGAAGGAGCTGAAGATAAACCCTGGTTATGCATCAGTCACGAATGGTAACGGAGGCGCGGAGCGTCTCCGCGGTGACGGGTTATCCTCTGACCCCTCCCTCCCCCCGTCAGTCACACTGCCATTACTCAGCGCTTTCCCAGTTTTCCCCGTCGACCTGTTTCCTTTCTCCTTCCTCGGGAGAAGGAGTGAAGTGGGACAAAGGTCAGCTGATCCAGCCTCACTCTGAGCTGTCAGCGAGGAGGAGGAGGGAGGAGGAGGGAGGAGGAGGGAGGAGGAGGTGCGTGATGTTGTCAGACTGCAGAGGGATCAGAGGAGGAACACTCTCTGCACGTCCTCCGTCAGCCCTGCAGTGTGTTATTGCTGCTCCTCAGACAGACGGAGGCTGCAGAGCCTCCATCGCTGGCGGAGGCGTGGGGGGGGGGGGCACCGCTGCGTCTCCGCTGCTCCTGCAGGAGCGCCTCTGGCTGCTCCACAGCCTCCCTGTTCGTGTCTGTGAGGAGGAAGGAGGGGGGCGTTAGGTGGAGTGAAGCCCCCCCCCCCCATCGTCTGCTCTCCAGCCAGCTCCACCTCTGCCCCCCCCCACACACAGCCTGCAGCAGGAGCTGCACCGGCAGCATGCTGAACTCCGTGTGGTACGCCAAGAAGATGGGGCGCCGCATCATGGGCACCCTGAGGAGAACCAAACGCCTCCACCGCCGTCTGCTGGTAGGTCCGCCCCCCACCCCCCCGCTGCAGCTGCTGCCCCTCGGTGGCGACGAGCGTCGGAGCTGCTGCGTCATGTGGCGGCCAGAGAGCGGTCCGGTCCGACCGGAACGCGCAGAGCGGGAGCCTCCAGCCGCCGTCGGGTCCGATCGGGTCCATCGTGCTCAGAACTCCAGGTTCACCTGCATCGTGTTCTGATGGAAACGAGCCACACATGTCTCTGCTGACGTTGCCTAGCAACCGCCGGGTCCCCATTCACCGCCTCCAACGCGCGTGTTAACATGCATGACCAGGGGAACACGCCGTCCGGCTGATCCCCGGTCCACCGGGACGGCCCGTTGGCCGCACACCAGAACCAATGACGGATCCAGAACCAGAGAGTCCAGCTGGTTCTGGTTGATCTGACCCGGATTACTCTCCAAACCAGACCCAGTTTGACCTTAGCAGTACCGGGTCAGATACAGCTCTAAGTGGATCCATCAGGAGAAGTGGACCAACCCTCAGAACCGCTCAATAATCCTTTAAATGTTGGTTCTGGTCATGGCCCGGATGTTATCGGACCTCTCCTGTTATTGTTTGAGACCCAGTAGAAGTTCTGCAACAGTTTGAAACGGGTCGGTGTTTGTGAACGCTCCTCCGTTGGCCTGTTTTCATCCTGACCCGGTCATCTGAAGCTCCTTTGGTTTGGGTCAGAACCGGCTCCTCTCTGCATGTTGCTGCTTTTAATTTTGATTTATTCTGAGAAATAAAACCGGTGGAGTTTGGATCTGCAGAACTATCAGAACCGGACGGTGAACCGATCATTCGGTTCTGAGTGTGACGGGCCGTTCTAACCGGGTCAGAACCTGAAGCTGACAGCGGTTCTGAGGCTATAAATTGGGTTCAGAGACTCAGAATGTAGCAGAACCCAAACTGTTCTGTGGTTCCATTCAGCTGCATCCTGAGGCAGACAGCTGGATGGTACAGAACCAGAACCAGCGGGTCCAGAGCAGAGCTGGATGGGCAGAACCTCTGTAGCTGTGGGTATCAGGGTGGCCAGTAGGAGGCGCCACTGGGATTAGGTTTAATCTGAGGCTCGTGTGGAAAAGCAAACATTCACTGTGTTCAGATTGAATCCGGGTCGACCCGGTTTGGATCCAAAGGCGTTCAGGGACTCCGGGTTCTGGATGATTTCCTGTGAATAAGGAGGATCCATTGGGCCGAGGAGGACTGGTTCTATTGGAAACAGGGTGTTCCTTCTGTGTTTGTGGATCAGAATCAGAACCGGTCCCCTGAGCCACGGCAGCAGCCTTCTGCCTGCGTCATGGCTGCTGTTGAGCAGATGCAGGGGGTCGCATCGATTATTCATGCAGCCGGCGGAACCAGCCGGACCCCTCCTGCTGCTGACATGTGCCACTCGCAGCCTGATTAATTGGCTGCAGAGAGACGAGAGGGAGGCCGGCCCGGAGGAGGTCGGATTCTGTGACGGTTTGGGAGAGTTCTGCTTCTGTGCAGGGATCAGACGCTCCGACCCGGGTCTGGAGGAACCCGCCCTCGTTAATTATTCAGCCTGCGGTTAGGGATCTCCTCCAGGACCATGACAACCCGTCAGCCTCAGCCGGGGTTCCCCTCCAGGACCGCCGAGCGGAGGCCGCCGCCGGAGCCCGGCCTGCAGGAGTCCATGGCCCACCTGCAGCGCCAGCACGCCGCGGAGCTGCAGCAGCACCGCCTGCTGTCCTCCTTCACGTCCTGCGCCGTCCCGGCGTCCTTCAGGGCGCGCAGCCGCTTCCTCAACCTGCGGGACAGCGTGAGGAAGAGCCCCACCAAGAGCACAGCCAAGGTGGTCAGCAGCAGGAAGGACGTCCCCTGGTTCAGTAAGGTACTGCAGCCGGACCCGACCCGACCCGATGTCCTGCTGACCAAACCAAGGCTCTGTTCATTCTGTTTAGAACGGGTCAGAGCAGAACTGAGATGCTTCAGGGACTCTATTCCTTTCTGGGTCTCTGGTTCTGAACCATGAGGAGCTGCAATCAGTTGGATTGAGTCGGGTTCTGACCCCCCTGGGTCCACTGATGGTTCTGACCCTCTGCGGCCCGTTTCCCTTATAAAGCTGATTTCTGTAGGTTTTTCCCTTCAGTGCCAAAGAGCTCAGTGATTGGGCCTAGTACTGACGGATTCTGGAGCAGCGATCCAGAAGTAGGGCTTTCGGATCAATGGCGTCGATGTTCTGGGCTAAATTTAGTGGCGGCTGGTTTTCCATCAGCTTCTGCAGCAGCTGCTTCATGAAGTTGGTTCTGTTGCATAACGGATCGGACCCTGTTGGAGGGTTCTGGTCATTCAGCAGGAGGAAGCCGTTTGGTTTTAGACCCTAAATCTGTCGTCTCAGACAGAAGCAGCAGCTCTCCTCGGGTCCAGTCTCTGCTGGAGTCTGTTTTGGTCTCGGTTCTTCTGGGTTTATGGGTCCATCTGAGCGGCTCGTCTTCTCATCGCCTTGATATAGAAATAAAAACACAAAGAAAAAATACATGTTAATGATTATTTATACTGATCCAATAATCTTTCCATGCATTTTAGGTTCTATTGGACCCTTTTTTCATCACCAGGTTCTGATCTTTCAGCTTTGAAATGGTTTTATTTGGGTTGGTTGATCAGTCGGCTCAGTTCCCTCTGCTGATGCACGTTTCCCCTCTGATCAATAATCCCTCACTAACAGAACCACCCGGCCCAGAACCACTCTCCCTCTCATTTAAAGTCCTCCAGGTTCTTGGTTCTGGTCCAGTTTCTGAGGTTTCTGTTGAAGGATTAACCTTTGACCTTGTGAGGACCTCCAGCTGCAGCTGCTCCTGCAGGGCGGAGCATTTCCCCTCACACACCATGGGAGTGGGTGGGGGCTCAACAGCCGGACCATCTGTCAGATCTGTCCCCTCTTCCTCCTCCTGTGATTGGTCCGTTCCTCTGACCCTTTCAGCCATGTTTGGTTAAACTCCCCCCATGATCATCCTCCTGCTGCTCATCTGTGTTTCTGACCTTTGACCCTCACCATGCTATTGTCCAGCAGGCCGAGGCCGTCCCGCCCTCCTCTCCTATAATCCCTGTGATCCCCATCTCGCCAATCCCAGCCGAGACCACCGTCATCCCTCCGACGTCACAGGTTTTATTTTGCTTTTTATTTCCTTTCTCTGTCCTTCCTCTCTCTGTGCTCCATCCATCATCCATCCATCATCCATCCGTTCATCCTTTCAGTTATCTCTCAGCTTATTTGGCCGCTGCTCTCCTAGTTTAGCTCAGCCTGTGGTCCAGTTGTGGCTCTGATGGACTGAGCAGATTAGGGACGCTAGCTGCTGCAGAGATGCATTCAGCGCTTCAGAGCCCATCTGGTTCGGCGCCATCAGCAGTAGTTTGAGGAAGGAGCCGCTCATCTTGTCTCGCAGCATCGACGGCGGTTTGATTCCCGTCTTCATGCTTCAGAACTGCATCCTCTGCAGCGTGAAAAGCCACCGCGTACGTCTGCTGCGTGTTAGCAGGGTGGAGCTCAGGCTTTCTGGGTGGATGTTGGTGGGGATTTACTGGGAGGACGGTGGGTGACGGTGTAAGTGACGCTGCCATGTTTGTTCTCTCCTCAGGCCAACCCTCCGCCTGTGGTGGTCAACACGGACAGCCTGGACACGCCTCCATACGTGAGTTCACCTTTTATCTCCCGGGACGGCATGATCATCACTTAGCTCAGGTGGACCATGATGCATTGCGGCCTTTTGATTTATATTGAGGGCATCACATCAGCTGACGGTGCTGGTTTGTAAAGAAACAATAATACGGTCAAATCCTGATGTATTTCCCGCTGTCTGATGATTGGCCAGAAAATCAGTTGACCTTCGTATTAAAATATCTGAACCTTTGTTTTTTCACATCCATCAGACTTTATATTTAATTCATTGGAATTAAAAACTAAAGGATTCATGCAAAGCAATGTGGCTCTAACTGTTCAGTAGGTGGATTTTCTTATGTTTAGTTGCCTTAAAATGAGACAAAGATGATAAATTGACCTTTAATTCGTCCCTTATTACCATCATGTCTTCTTTTCTGTTGTCCAGCTAACTGAAATCTATCAGTAGAATGACTGTAGAGACTAAAGGCCTAGTTTTAGGTTAGTCAGCTTGTTTATTGGATGGTGGTCTGATGATGTATGCTAGCCCTCAAGCTAACTTCAGGGTTTATAAATACTTACAGTGAGGGAAATAAGTGTTTGTACACCCTGCTTTTATTGCAGGTTTTCCTACTTAGAAATCATGGAGGAGTTTGAAATTGTCATCGTAGGTGCATGTCCACTCTAAGAGACATAATCTAAGAAAAAAAATTCCAGAAATCTATTTATTTGTATGACTCAGCTACAAATAAATATTTGAACAGCTGTCTATCAGCAGGGTTCATGCAGGTCCTTAAAAAGTCTTAAAAGGCATTGAATTCTTCAAATAAAATTAAGGCCTTAATTGGTATTAAAATGCCTAAATCAGTCTTTCGTAGGTCTTAATTTTTAAAACATTATAAATAGGATTATTTTTATTAAGATTTATTTTTGTAATCTAAATAAACATTAAAATTGACAATTATTTATTTTTTTTATTTAAAAAAAAATACCGGCTCGCCATTAATGGTTCCGTCCCGATAGTGGAACCAATAAAGCGGCCGGGACATTTGGGAGATGCACCATTTACTTTTTGTCTGGAAAATATGAGCAAATGTAAATGTAACCAAAATTGTCTCCAGCCAAGAGTTTCCTCCATGGCTAAAACCAGGGAACATACATGAGGCTCAGCATTTAGTGCAAGAAGTCATTGAAGCTCAGAACGATGGGAATTAAGGCAGTGGCGTCAAAGGCGAAGCACGAAACACAAAGTGTCAAAATGGAGTTACAGAGAAACAGCCGGTATTTCTCAGTTTAGTTCCACCCTTGTCTCTGCAACGCCTCCACTTATCACCAAATCAAACATACTAAGAAAACCATACAAAGAAAAATAGCTGCTAAAAAGACTTAGCACTGGTTATGTTGGGGCTTTAAAACTGATTTGTTTTGTTCCCTGCTAAAACAAAGTTTGTGAATTCAGTTAAATAATTGTTCAAATAAATCTGTCATTTGTGTGTTTTTAGCTTTCTTCCTGTATGGGAAGCTTTTCAAAATGTGAAACATTAGTGCAGTGGTTTATGTTAAAATAAACCTTTGGGTTAAGTTGTCACAAGCGGGTTTTTCTTCTGTTTCTTGTGAATTTGGTCTTAAATTTTTATTTCAAGTGGCATTAAAAAGTCTTAAAAAGTCTTGAATTTAACTTGCCTTATGCTGTAGGAACCCTGAGCTAGAATTCTGACCCTCAAAGACCCGTTAGTCTGCCTTCAAAATGTCCACCTCCATTTATTATCCTAAATTAGATGCGCCCCGTACAATCAGTAAAGCTGAGTCTGAACGTCCGCCCTAAACCCTACATCCCTCCATCACTATATAGAGCGGGGCGTATATAGTGGACTTTATAGAAAACTCAGTTAACATACCGCTCAGACAGAAGATCACAGCTTTTCGCTCCCAGTTTGTTACGTGACTCCGCCTCCTTGCACGGTGCCTGCGCCATCTTTGTTATTTATCGCCACTGTGACAACAAATCCCATAATGCTTTGTGTGGAGAGCTCTCCACATAAAGCATTCCAGGATATATTTCGAGTCCACCACCTTTTCATCCACTAGAGATTCAGACACTCATCCAAAATGGCGTAACCACTATATAGTGTCCGAATGTTTGATTAGGGCGGACATTTGGACTCGGCCTAAGAATCCAACTGCTAACATGGCCAAGACCAAAGAGCTGCCTGAAGACACTAGAGAGAAAAATGTTACACCTCCACAAGGCTGGAAAGCGCTACGGGGGAATTGCTAAGCAGCTTGGTGAAAAAAGCTCCACTGTTGGATCAATCATTGGAAAATGGAAGAAGATAAACATGACTGTCAATCTCCCTCAGACTGGGGCCCCATGGAAGACCTCACCTCATGGGGTCTTAATGATCCTAAGAAAGGTGAGAAATCAGCCCAGAACTACACTGGAGGAGCTGCTTAATGACCTGAAAAGAGCCGGGACCACCGTTTCCATGGTTACTGTTGGTAATACACTTTGAAATCATGGCCGGAATTCCCCTGCTTAAACCAGCACATGTCAAGAACATGTTAAATTTACCAATGATCCAGAGGAGTCATGGGAGAAAGTCATGTGGATGAGACCAAAATAGAGCTTTTTGGTCATAAATCCACTAACTGTGTTTGGAGGAAGAGAAATGATCAGTATCATCCCAAGAACACCAGCCCTGCTGTGAAGTATGGGGGTGGTAGCATCATGCTTTGGGGTGTTTTTCAGCACATGGAACAGGGTGGCTGCACTGTATTAAGGAGAGGATGACCGTCGCCATGTATTGAGAGATTTTGGGGAACAACCTCCTTCCTCAGAGCATTGAGGATGGGTCTAGAATGGATCGTCCAACATGACAATGAGCTGAAGAACACGGCCAGGATGACCAAGGAGGGACTCTGGAAGAACCGTATCAAGGTTCTTGCATGGCCTAGCCAGTCTCCAGACCTAAACCTGATAGAGAACCTTTGGAGGGAGCTTGAACTCTGCTTCTCACCAACATCCCAGAAACCCGACTGATCTAGTGGGCAAAATCCCTCCTGATGAAGAACTACAGGAAATGTTTGACCTCTCTAACAGGAACCAAGGACTGCTGTGCCAAATATTAACATTGATTTTCCTCTTCAAATATTGATTTGCAGCTGTATCATACAAATATTTAAAAAAAAATCATACATTGTGATTTCTGGATCTTTTATTTTTATTTTTTTAGATCATGTCTCTCACACTGGACATGCACCTATTATGACAGCTTCAGACCCCTTCATGATTTCTAAGTGTGAGAAATTAGCTCAGGATGAACTGTGAGAAATAGCAGGCTGTTCAAATACTTATTTTCCTAATCCTGTACCCAGAAAACCAGCCCATATCACCATACCTCCAATACTTTGCTTAAAACTCATAACGTTTCTGTTTCTCCAAGTTGGAGGAACTGATTTAGTCTCTTCAAAGCTGATGAGCTTCACGTTTATGGCTTTTATGACTCACCTGAAAAAGAAAAAAAGACTTTCTATCAAACCAAGAAGAACTGGATCTTATTTACCGACTCAAAGTAAAGGTAAATACACTTAAGACATTTTTTTGCTTATTTCTAGATCGTTTTTTGCAGTGTACTTTGCAAAAATGTCTTAAATGAAGTGTATTTACCCTAAATTGGAGTAGGTAAATAAAATGATTTGCCAATGAAATTAATATTTTTACTCTTAAAATAAGATAATTAGCCAATCTTCACTTGAAATAATAGTTTTTCTTATTTTAAGTGTACATTGTCTTGTTGAATTACTAAAGTGTCTCACCTACCTCCTCAGTTCAAGAACAAATAGACCTAATTTAAGAAAAAATGACTTATTTAGATTTAATTTTTTGCATTTATAGCGGTTTGGTGTTTTTTCTAAAACTGAGATTATTTGAAAATTATTGCAAAGATGATCTTCTGTGTTTTATTCAGTTTTAAAACCAGCTGATAATATGGTTTATATTTAGGGTTTTTCAAGCTGCCGTTAAACTTCTGTTGTAGATTTAAAGGGGAAATTAACTATAAATATTAGTTTACATCTTTAAATAAACTCGAGTTTTGGAGAAGCGTTGAAATGTTGTGATTCAAGCTTGTTTCCTCTGGTGCTGATGATGGATTATCTCTGCAGGTGAACGGGACAGAGGCTGAGTATGAGTACGAGGAGATCACGCTGGAGAGGGTAAGGAGCTGTTAGCTTGGTCTGATGGAGGCCCAGCTGGTCTGATCTTGGTCTGATGGAGGCCCAGCTGGTCTGATCTTGGTCTGATGGAGGCCCAGCTGGTCTGATCTTGGTCTGATGGAGGCCCAGCTGGTCTGATCTTGGTCTGATGGAGGCCCAGCTGGTCTGATCTTGGTCTGATGGAGGCCCAGCTGGTCTGATCTTGGTCTGATGGAGGCCCAGCTGGTCTGATCTTGGTCTGATGGAGGCCCAGCTGGTCTGATCTTGGTCTGATGGAGGCCCAGCTGGTCTGATCTTGGTCTGATGGAGGCCCAGCTGGTCTGATCTTGGTCTGATGGAGGCCCAGCTGGTCTGATCTTGGTCTGATGGAGGCCCAGCTGGTCTGATCTTGGTCTGATGGAGGCCCAGCTGGTCTGATCTTGGTCTGATGGAGGCCCAGCTGGTCTGATCTTGGTCTGATGGAGGCCCAGCTGGTCTGATGCTTTCAGTCTCTCTGAGCTCAGGTCCATCCTCCTCTTTATCCTCTGATGAAACCAACCTGCAGGACTGCAGAGCTTTGCCTCAGTCTGAATTTTCTTTAAGAAAGAACAACATGAAGCATCTTCCTGTTGATCCTCTGTAATCTGGCTTCACAGACATAAAATCCTTCTCAGCTCTGCTGCGTTTAAGGAAAATATCCCCAGAGAAGCCTTCAGATCAAACTGAAGCAGCATCTGGTGTCCCTTCTGCAGGTTTTACTCTAAAGCTGTCCTCTCCTTTAACACAATCTCTGACTGTGTCGCACTAAAGTCCTTAATTCTCATATTTAATCAGATTTAGTGAAAACTAAAGCATGGAAGCAGATCAAGGTTTGCAGATGGAAACCACCTGCTGTTATTCTAAGCTCTGGGTTCTGCAGGAATTCAGGGATTCGGTTCTGGTGTGGAATAAATCCTGGATTCATTGAGGAGTTTGAGCCGTTTAATGTCAGCATACATTAGAATGACTGTTTAATTTATCATCAGAAAACATAGAAAGTGTTCAAATTCCTTCCTTTGCTGATCATGGCTGCTATGATCCAGGGAAACTCTGGGCTGGGCTTCAGCATCGCAGGAGGTACAGATAACCCCCACATCGGTGAAGACCCCAGCATCTTCATCACCAAAGTCATTCCTGGAGGAGCAGCAGCTCAGGACGGACGGCTCAGGTAAGAAGCAGGAAGCACAGATTCACACGCTCCTGTTTTCTTTAACCTTGAAAATATAAAACTTTTGCTAATAAGAGCAACAGAAGAAATCTGAGGAGCCAAACGGATAGAAAACAAGCTTTCAGTCTAAGTTAGCTTAGTGGGTTTTAAGAGCTTCAAGCAAAATAGACATGGAATGTTCTAGAATTTGCACCAACATGTTACTATGAAAAATAAGGCTAACTCTGTTAGCTTAACAAAATAAGAATAATAATAATTAATTAATACGCTTGTTAAAGATGTTAGTTTTCTCTCAGGAATTTGTCTGCTTTAACAGACATCATGTTGTTTATAAGCAGGCCTTTTCCACGCTGTTTATCCAGTTCATTTTTAACAACAGTTTAATTTTCAGTTTCAGACAAAAAATTAAGAAGCTATATCAGAAAAACCTCTAAGCTACAAGGAAGCATTTGTACGGAAGAGGATTAGGGCCACTGGAAAAAAAAAAAAAAGTTTAACTGATTTTTAAATTTTATTTCAGTTTAACATGGGGAAAAAAGTCAGAATTCTGACTTTTTTCTCATATTAAACTGAAATAAAATAAAAAAATCAGTTAATTTTTTTTTTCTTCTGTACATTTGGGGCAATATGCATTAGAACATTTGTGCTGATTTAAAAAACTATTGAATAAATGACTTGAATAAAAGAAAAAATGTTTTGATGTTAAATGGAAGAAAACAGTTTTTTCTCTCAATATAAATCTTTCGGTTCGGCTCTTTTAACTTCATGAAGCAGCAGAGAGACTCAGCCTCACCTGATCAGGTGGTGATGAAGAGGAGGAGCTCTTCCTCAGATTACCAGTTGACTAAAGGGGGCGGGGTCTGTCTTTGGTTTCAGGGTGAACGACGTCATCCTGCGGGTAAACGAGGTGGATGTCCGGGACGTGACCCACAGCCGGGCCGTGGAGGCGCTGAAGGAGGCGGGGTCTCTGGTCCGACTCTACATCCGCAGAAGGAAACCCGTCTCAGAGAAGGTGATGGAGCTCAAGCTGGTGAAAGGACCCAAAGGTCTGGGCTTCAGCATAGCAGGGGGGGTCGGAAACCAGCACATCCCCGGAGACAACAGCATCTACGTCACCAAGATCATCGAAGGCGGCGCCGCACAGAAGGACGGGAGGCTGCAGATCGGAGACAAACTGCTGGCCGTGAGTTCTCCGCCTGACGCCCTTGCCGCCTCACGGCGAGCGGACGCTAAGCTCTTCTGTCTGTCTGCGTCCAGGTGAACAGCGCCTGCCTAGAGGAGGTGACCCACGAACACGCCGTCACTGCCTTGAAAAACACTCCTGATGTGGTCTACTTGAAAGTGGCAAAACCCAACAGTGTCTTCATGAGCGACAGCTTCGCCCCGCCAGACCTCACCAACTGTGAGTGAACAGATGCAGCCGCTTCTGCTGCGGATAAACCAGCCTGAGATTAGAGCTGCGGCTGATGATGATGATGATGATGGGAACGTGGAGCGGCTGCAGTAGAAACGCTGTCTGACTCATCAGTCAGTGACTCAGCTGTTCATCATTTAGCTAACAGATCACCTCACTTCCTGTCGTCTGGTTGGAAACCTGGAATCAGTCTAAAAAATAGTGTTATTGGAAACCAGGACAAGACTTTATTACCTTTGTAACATTAAAAAATTATGGATATTTTGATGGAAAAAATGAATTGCAATGTAATAACAAGAAACGCCAACAATATATAAGAAAAATAACAAAACTGCTTCTATAAGAAATTCATGAAAAACACTCCAACATACACCAGGGGTTGACGTTAAGGATTTTTACTTTCACATTTCATTTGCCCAGAAACAATTTTTACTTGCCCAGTATAATGATGGATAAATATAGTTCCTAATATTCATTTTTGTATATATATCAATGAAACATGTTTGTTTTTTAAATGTTTTTTCTAATTCCGTATTTTTTAAGTTTCCAGGTTCCTGGTGTGTATATGCATGCGTCAGATAATGAAGTCAAGCCTACATTACCGTGTTAACATGCTTTTCAATCCTTCCTGCACATTCTTTTCAAACTAAACTTTGCTTTAAACTGTTGTTGGCTTGGAAAAATATAAATTGCAATGTTAAAAATAAAAAAAAACTTGACAGGTTAAAAACTTACACTTCTACTACTCACCAATTTAACATGTTTAGCTCTATAACATTTAAATGCACCACTCCAATGTCTAAGAGAAATAAATTTAATGAACATTTTTTAATGTATGACCACTGCACAGAAAACTGCCATATGATAGAAATATTTACACTGTGACATACAATTATTATTATTTTCCTAATCCCTGACCATTTTTAATCTAGCATGTATTATAGTATAGATTAAATCATCATCCAGCTGCTGCTCTGCAGAATTCTCTCCCCAAGAGCTCATTCCTGGTCGTTTGGCTCTATCACCATCTTTCCACCAGTTCTCCACCGCTTCTGTGGCGCTGAATTTGTCCATATCTGGTCCTTTAAAAATTAATAACCTTATTAATGCCAATAATAACATATGCAAACAAGTCAATGAATCTGAATCTTCAATTTTTTTAAAACAAAATCAGTGTATCCGTGAAAACACTCTTACATGTTCCAGACTGTGTTTGGATTAATGAACTTCATAAAAAAGTTTAAATACGGGCTATGACAATATTACAGACAAAGCTGCCGCTACCTTTAAGTGGCATAGAAAGGAATTAATATGACCAAATTAAATAAAAATGTTCAATTAAATTTCTTCATTTCAATGCTATGATGCCTTAGTATGGGATACATTTTTTGTGCATAAATTTGTTAAAATTATGCTCTATAATATCAGAAATGTGGGTGACTGCTGGAGGTTGGGTGAAATGGATGTTACGTGCATAGTGGAAGGTGGTACTGGGTGAAATGGATGCTAGATGGGTGGTGGGTGAAATGGGTGGAGGGTAAAAGAGGTGGTGGGTGTGTTACTTACATTTTTTTGCCTTGATTTTTAGCCTGCCAAGTCGAAAAAAATGTCTGATTCGCGCCAATTCCCAGACAAAAATCACGCCATCTAGCGGAAAATCTCGCAGCTTTTTCAGATCACGCGAGAATGTATAGAAAAAACAACAAAAATGGCTTATGGGTCGTTTTCAGCGAATGTCGGTGATTTTAAAGTAATTTTGAGTGATAAATATTTTTTCTTGCGATCATTGCACTTGCCCGGCAAGCAAATGCAATGAAATTTGTACTCTCCCAGCAATAAAAACTACCTTCCCCGGGCGATCGGGCGATGGTTAACATCGAGCCCTGTACACTTAGAGGCATTAATGCAGATACTTACAGTTTTTAGTTTATAAACCTTTAACCTTTCTACCAGTAGGTAATAAATCATTCAAGGACTCATCTAATTGGTCAAACAGCCGACTGCCATAATGAATCCTGGCTTTGAACATGTGACCGGATTAAGCTGGCCGTACACTGTGCAATTTTTTGACCTTTTCGGGCCGATTCTCCAGGTGTGCCAGAATTTTTCGATCGGGCCGACTTTCAGCCTGATTGTGCATGGTGTGGTGTACAGGGGTAACGAGGGGCTATCCGCCGCTCACCACCACCTCTCCATCAAGAATCATGAGGTCAGGAGAAAATCAAACATGTTTGAAATTCAGTCGGCCGTCGTGAGGTTGCATCAGAGCGTCCGCTCACACAGGGCGAGAACATCCATCTTTAGGATTATACTTTGTAAAATAAAGAGCAGAGAGTCACATTACCATCTTTAAGTCACAGAAATCATGGAAATGATTCATAATCATATGGATTTATCTGATCTTCTCTCCGGTTCTGTCGCAGCCTTCACGCAGCACATGGAGAACCATATCAGCACCCCTAACTTCCTGGGTCAGACCCTCCCCACACCGGCACCAACGGGACGCTACTCGCCAACGCCGAAGAGCATGCTTGGAGAAGATGATGTCACACGGTGAGGATGCTGACCTCCTGGTCAAAACAGGATCATTTAATCCTGGATCTTCTCAGCTTGGAGGTTTTCCTCAGCAGCAGCAGACTCATGTAGATGTGATGGAAAAGATGCTGATCGTCTCTAAAGTAGAATAAAATAGAATTTATTGTCATCACCCTGCAGGACTCTGATAAACAAGGTCATTAAAAATACCAAAAAACACAAGAATACACGACTTAAAGGTGGGGTATATGATCCTGGATAAACGGTTCCTGCCAGCTACATTTTTGAAAATACACACCTTCAGCCCACCCCACGAAACCACGCCTCCAAATTACATGAACGCGCCTGCTGTCAGTCGAGAATGTTCGGATGTTCCCGAGAACGAGAACGAAACAGGCCGAGACCTCGCGTATCTTACAAAATGTTTATAAGCATGGATTGGACAGGAATGCAGCGTCAAGGAGGATAATACTTTGTAGTGCCATGATAGCAATCAATATTTCAGACGGAGCTAGTAAGCTAGAGAAACATGCTGGGACATTGCATGTAGTCGACATCTTTGACTTTCTCACTAATGTGGTAAATAAGAAGTAACCAAGTATTATCTCAACATATAAGAAAACATAACGTTGTCTTACCTATCGAGTAGAAACAAGGCCACCTTAGCATCCGTCTGTAGTCCCCTGTCTTCTTTCAGTTGACGCCAACGTTGGAAAGCTGTACCGATTACCACTCTCGTCCTGTTTCGTTCTTCTGTTGCTTTTATCCTAGCTGTTGCTTTTTCAAGCACAGTTTTGCCTTTTCTTTTCGAACCCGTTGTTGTCGTCTTTTCTGCCATAGTCAATATTCTCTCTGGCTGTGTGAGATAAATCTGTGGAGTTGGGCTTGATAGCTAGGTAGCTAGCTCTCTAGTAGCATTTGAAGTTCACGGTAGGGTGGAGTTACCTGAAATGACTCCTGCGCCGGCACTTGGGGGGGGGGTGGGGTGGGGGGGGGGGTCACGAGTCTGTGAACGCGCAGGGGGGAGGGGTGGGGAGAGCTCAGAGCTGACGGTTGATGGGCGTGCCAGCAACCAGTAGAAGTAGGGATGATAGTTACTTCTATTGGTTAGCGTTTTCCTCTGACTACGCCCTCTACACTGGACTAAAAGATTTCGTTTTTTTTCCAAACATTCTATCTCAGTTGGCGCAATGGGCTCGTGAGGAGGTTTTCAATCAGTATGGTAAAAACATGCTCCAGAAAACATCACATACCCCACCTTTAATGCATTAGACATGGAAGGTGTTTGCAGACATGCCTGCAGAGCAAACCATCAATAAGCTGCTGGAGAAAGTTTGATTGTTGTTTGCTTATTATTGACGTACAGTATTTGCTAATAAATAAACCTTTATTCTAATAAAATATAAAAGCTTTTATGGCTTTAATTTGACCGATAACAGCAGTGAAGCTGATCTGGAAGCTTAGATCTCAGTTTGATGGTTTTTCCAGTCTGGATTTAAATGTTCTTCATTTTTACAGCCATGAAGGGAATTTTTCTGTCCTTAAAGCATCCAAAACGTTCCAGAAAGGTTTGTACAGTCGGTGTCATGATTATCCTGTTCATGGATCACTGCAGGAGGAAGCTGCCAGTGTTTAAGATGTTTAGTTTTATCTGTTATTTCCTGTTTATATAATTTAAAATGAAGTGTAATATCTTGGCCATGTGTTGACGGACCGTCTGTCTGGTGATGAGGACATTTACCGTGAGGTTCCTCTGTTAGATTCTGGTCTGATGAAGTGAAACTGAACTTGTTTAAGTCACATGGTAAATCTCTCTAAGCTGCACATGTGGTGCAGCTTTAAAAAGGAAGCCTACAAAGACTGAAGGTGGTCGATAATGATGCATTAAGACCTGTTAGAAACCCAGATGGACCAGCGCCGCTAAACTGCTCGCTTCAGCACTTTGATGGCTGTTTTCAGAAAGCATATGTATACATTTATTTGTTGTTTTAACGAGTTGAACAGCAGAATGACCCTTGTGTTGACTAATGTTAATCATAGTGCAGTAAAATACTCGCCTGTACTATGGAGACATTGGTATGGTTGTCCTTTGAATGGCTAGGACTCGCTTTTTATGTAATTGTTTTATGTAATTTGGACTGAGTCTATAATCAAATCCATCCATCATCCACTCACCATTTCTATAATCTTTATATTTTGCCCATTACTTTCAGTTCTTTCTGTTTATTTTGCATTAAGCTTCATTAAAAGCAGGAATGTATTTCATGGCTCATAAGCAGCTGCTCTGCCCCCTGGTGGCTGGAAGCTGTAATAGTTTCTCTGTTTCCTGAGATGGAAACCATCAGACCATCTGTCAGCGGTAGATGAACACTTCCTCCCTTTGCCCCCCGGCTGATCGTGGCCGTTTGTTCCCACAGGGAGCCGAGGAAGGTGGTCCTGCACCGAGGAGCAACGGGCCTGGGCTTCAACATCGTGGGTGGGGAGGACGGCGAGGGGATCTTCATCTCCTTCATCCTGGCCGGAGGCCCGGCGGACCTGAGTGGGGAGCTGCGGAAAGGAGACAGGCTGGTGTCGGTGGGTGTTCTCCATCGGGACTCGGGTCGGCAGCCGCTCAGGTTTTCATCGCTTTAATAAACTGGATCTTCCTGCTTCCAGGTGAACGGGGTGGACCTGCGGAACGCCACGCACGAACAGGCCGCCGCCGCCCTGAAGAACGCTGGGCAGACGGTGACCATCGTGGCCCACTACAGGCCAGAGGGTGAGAGGTCCGGTTGTCTGTGTTGTGATCCGGTTAGAACCGCTCGGTGGCTGACCGGCCGTGTGTCTGTGCTCAGAGTACAGCCGCTTCGAGGCCAAGATCCACGACCTGAGGGAGCAGATGATGAACAGCAGCATCAGCTCCGGGTCCGGGTCCCTGCGGACCAGTCAGAAGAGGTCCCTCTACGTCAGGTGAGCCCACGCTGTCGGATCAGCGGAGGAGAGTCACAGCTGAACCCGTTTGACTCACCGCTGCTCTGTCCCTGCGCCTCAGAGCTCTGTTCGACTACGACAAGACCAGGGACTCGGGTCTGCCCAGTCAGGGCCTGAACTTTAAGTTCGGAGACATCCTCCACGTGGTGAACGCCTCCGATGACGAGTGGTGGCAGGCCCGACATCTGACGCCTGAGGGGGAGCTGGAGGAGGTGGGGGTGATTCCCAGCAAGAGACGGTGAGTTAACAGAACCCACGGAGACCCGGTGTAGGTACCAGATTGTCTCGGGCTGCCAGATTGACTCGGGGGCCTTTTGATGACGTCATAATATGGCAACTCCGCCCGTCACACCATATGGCAACGCCACTCAAACAAACTACATTGCGCCCGCGGTCTCTATTTGTCACAAATCGATGTTATTTTTTCTGTTCAAACTTTATTCTCATGTAAACACAATATCAGGACTTGAACAGGATGTAGTTAGGCTGTGGTAAGTCCCTTTTGAAAGATAATGAAGAATTTCTTCGTAAAAATGATCCATGGTATCAGAGGGACTTTAATCTCTGAATATACTTTGTATTCGTAGTATTTTTGTTTTTGTTATATTACAAGTTTATTTTTTGTATCCCTTTAGCTTAATTCTCCTGAATTTATTCTCGTTACAAATGCAGACCGCGGGCTCAATGTAGTTTGTTTGAGTGGCGTTGCCATAATGTCACGTCATCGGGAGGCGCAAGGCCCATGGCGAATTCGGTGACGTCATCGGAAGGCGCAGGGACCATGGAGAATTTCTTCGTAAAATTCTCCGTTTACAAACCGCAATCGCGCTTTCGAATAAAACCTACACCCCGCTATAATGACTTTAGTAAGCTGTCCAGACCAATCAAAATGTTTTGCGCAATTGTGCAAACGTTAAAACAATTATGTATTGTGACGTCATCAAAAGGCGCAGGCCCCCGAGTCAATCTGGCAGCCCGAGTCAATCTGGTACCTACACCGGATCCCAGGGTTCCGATGGAACGCCAGGTCCTTATTTAAAGTCGTAGGGAAATCTTATTTAAATGTCAAGTCATTCTGGCTTAAACATGTATATAAATGCTCTCTTTATCAGATATTGTCCCAAAAGTTAGAAGATTTCTATTTAAAAAAAATCCTGTCTTAAAATCTGTATTTTTTTCCGCTATCTTATGCAGGCCAGTTAGTTCTACGTCAGCCTGAGCACCTAAATCAACAGTCATCTGTCAATCAGATTTTTTCGGTCATAGCATCTTGATTCATATGTCACAGCTAATTTACGCAACGGTTGAAATCCGAATCCTTTCCTTTCCCATTGAGTTGCGTCCCAGTGTTCACGGGGATGGACGTCTGTGTCTTCAGCAGGCGTAGAGCTAACAGAACTGGCAGCGTTGCGAGGCAAGGGCTCAAACATGTACGGCTGTAAGCCTTCTACACCAAACCAAGCTTCTGCCGCCCTGGCGTCCTCTTCCACAACATCTTCGTCCTGCTTTCCTCCTCTAAATAAAAATGGATGACGGAGGAGACTCATCCACGACCTCCGACACTAAACTCTGCTTACGAACCTTTCAACACAAACAATCCCGCCCCCTTAATAATCGACCAATCACATTGACTTTATTCGCTCATGTAAAGTCGGGCACCACTCAGGAGAATTTGGAATTTTAACCGTTGGAAGAGCCGCTTCCCTACGACTTTAAACAGACGGCTTCATATGAACCTGATAAATCCAGGGCTGTAGGACCTCAGCTCCTCATGCTGAGGTCCAGACGGTCAGGTCCAGAACCCTCAGCAGATGCACTTCCTCTCAACAACCCTGTTTCTTCTTCTTCTGTGTTTTTCTCCAGAGTGGAGAAGAAGGAGCGAGCGAGGTTAAAGACGGTGAAGTTCAACTCCAAGTCCAGAGACCGGGGGGTGAGTGTGGACCCTCTGGAGGACAGAACCTTCATGGTTTATGGTTTCAGTCTGAAACTGATCAGATGAAGGAATCTTCCAGATGTTTGTTGTTTCCAGCTGCTTTATTTTAATCTGCTGCATGATGTGTGAATTTAAAGAGTTTATGCTGCTGCTGCCACCTGATCTCTCCACCTACTAATGACTAATGTTGACAGCTGCTGTCCCGGTAACCGCCACCGGCCCGGTAACCACCGCTGGCCCGGTAACCACCGCCGGCCCGGTACTGGCCCTGGTAACTACAGCTGGCCCGTTAACCGCATGTCCACCTGAGACCAGCAGCAGCGCCTCCTTCAGGCTGTCTGCTGCTGCTTTAACATGCGTCGCCCGCAGAACATGCATGACCTTTGACCCCCTGAGAGATAAACGCTCATCGTTGATATCTGCTTGCCTCCTTCCTCTCTTGCTCCTCTTCCTCCACATTCTCCACCTCTGCAGTCAAAGCAGTCGCCCCCTGCTGGCCACTGAATATAAACCAGAAGCATCAGTTTGTTCTGCTGCAGTAGATCAGCTGATGACGGGTTAGAAAAAAAAACAAATTAGAAAGCCAACAAAATAATAATAAACCAATTCTAATTAGGTGTAGAAAATAAACTTCTTTTTAATTAACTTCTTTTAGTTTTCTGAATATCTGTGTTTCTATCCAGGGGCGGCGCTGCCCGTTGTTTTTGAATGAATCGCTGTTTAACTTATTAATTTTATGAATTCGATCAGGATTGTCAGTAAGTCCCCCACATGTTAACAGTTTGGGGAGTTGGACAGTCTGTGGGGTTCCTGGGTTATAATGATGGCTGCAGGATTCCCACCATGTTCCTCTGCTCCCATAGTAATCATAGGGTAGTTTTGGCTCATAGAGGGATTCTGTGCTGCATTATGCTGATTAAAGGAGAATCCTAACATTATCATGATGGTAATTATTTAAATTTACATTAATCGAATCTTAACCATACCATCACGGACTAAAATAACAGATCAGACCCCCGACAAGCCTAGAGAAAAAGATCATAAACAGTCAAAATCATGTTCAATAAATAAGATTATTTAAACCATATATAGCATCTACAACACAAACATTCCTATGTTACGAGGGACGTTCATTAACTGACCCTGACCCACTTCCAGTTGTTTGATCGAGCTGAAATTTATTTATTATTTATTTATTTATTTTTTAACTTTATTGATTCCGCATTGGAGAAATTTCCTTTAACCCATCCCTTGGGGAGCAGTGGGCTGCCATCGTGGGGCGCCCAGGGTGCAGTGTAAGGTTATAAGGGTCTTGCTCAGGGACCCAGGGACTCAAACTAAGAATCCTCTGGATTCCAAGCTCTATGCCCTAACCACTAGGCCTCCACTCCCCCTAATGTGCAATTACTTATATCTCTATAGATTAAGTGGTAAATTTTAGCTTTGAACTAATTGTGGTTTCTGATTTACAGGTGTTTGAACTTAGCCAAGGGTGAAATAGAGCCTGTGGTGCGTCGCGCAGCGATCTAGTTTCTATATTTAAAGGAACGCACACCACGGGAGACTTTTGAGGAAGTGAAAGTAACCCATGGTGACGATGCCCCATCATATTGATTGATTTACTTTAAAGTTCTCACAGTGGAGAAATTGGCCAAAATTTTACAAAGTCATATGATGGGGCATCATCTCCATAGGATATGAATCCTTTTTAAATACACAAACTGATCACTGCTCAACAGGATCCTTTTCACCCTTTTCACCCAATTTGCAGCTTATTCTATAGAGATAGAACTAATTACGCATGAAAAATTTCAGAGAGATCAAACAACTTGACGCGAGTCCAGGGGCTTAATTATTGAACGCCCCTCGTAGATACCACCTTTGAAGCGTTTCTTAATGTCAGAGTTTAACCGTCTATAACACTTATTGTTATTATTGCCATCACTAGATGTTTATTGTTCATTTAAAGGTATAAACATTCAGACCTGTTCTAACTACGCTGCTACTGCGCCTGAATGTGAGGAACCAGCAACATGATTACAGTCAAAGACAGCTGGCTGACAACAATAGGTGGAGGAGGGGGGAGTGTTTCTAATCCTATTAAAATGAATTTAAACTGTAGATACCATATCAACCAAACCTTTGAGTTCTTTCGTGTTTTAAAACCAGAACCAGGACTTGGTTCATACCTTAAACCAGGATCCAGCCTTACTGGGCCCTTAGAGGTGGGTCCACAGCTCCCCTCCTTCTGCGCCCAGCTTCCCTGTCTGCACGTCTACAGCATGCCCCCCCCCCCCCCCCCCCCCCCATTCTGCTGTGCTGCCTTCACTGACACTCAGGAAACAAAAAAAAAACGGCCTCAAAACCTCTAACAGCACCACCGCCACCCCCAGAGCCCGGTCAGACCAGGACATCAGGTTCTAGGATCCAGCTGTTTGACCTTTGACCTAACCTCTAAACTCTCCCTGCTGTTTAACGTCGCCGTCCAGTGAAATGAGTCGCATCCTGTCGTTCTGCCCAATCCAACATCAGAGCCCCTCATCTGCCCCTCTTCTTCTTCCTTTATCGCCCTCCTCCTCTTCAGCAGTCCGTCAATGACAAGCGTAAAAAGAACCTCTTTACCCGAAAGTTTCCTTTCTACAAGAGCAGAGAGCCGAGCGAGCAGGAGACCAGCGACGCCGACCGTAAGTACCGCCGCCGCCGTGTCCCGGCAGACGATCGGTCAGCGGCAGGAAGAGAGATCAGCTGGCAGTGGTGTCAGGCGCATCAGTCGTCACGGCAACGTAGCAGTGACTCATATCCAATTAGAAACTGAGACAAAACCAAAACTGCTGCAGAAGGTCCTCTGTTTGGAGCCAAAATGGCCGCCTTGCCGACCAGCTGTGCTCCCTCTGCTCTCTCCGTCTGCCGCTGGATCTCAGTAACGTTGTGTTTCTCTGGTTGTTTTTCTGTTTGTCCCTCTGCTGACTCAGGACAACAACGATGACACGATGAACAAAAGCCACAGTGAGTAAAACACCTGCCAACATCAGGCTGTGGGTCTCCACCAGGAGGACAACATGTTTCATTATCCCACTGAGGGGAAACAAGGAACACATAACATTTAACAATAACTTTTTACATTCAGTTTGGAGAAAAGATTCAAAAAAAGAGAAACGTAAAATAAATACCTTGATATATAGGTTTTTATGATTTATAGAAACATTTCCAGGTTATTATTCTCAGCAGACACAAAATTATCCGAATAGTTTGCATCCTGGTGGAAACCTGGTCTGAGACCTTCATCTTCTCCTCATCTCAGACCTTGGTGGATTAAAGAGGAAAACCCCCATCAGTTTGTTCTCCTCTGTTGTTTTCTTCTCGATCCTCCATAGTTGGTCTAAGAACCTGTATCTTCTGAGTTTAGTTGTCTGCATTTATTGTAAACCATGTAATCTGATCATAAAGAAACAAAACGAAAGCTTATGGTGAAATCTACTGAATCATCTGATTGGTCCAATCCTGTGTTTCAGGACAGTTAAATCTTAAAATTAAGCTAAAAGTTTAAAATATCAATGATCCAGAAACCTCTCCTCTTGCTCTCTGGGAGCTGAAGGTTCTTGGTCCAGCTGAGATGGAGCGGCGCAGAAAAGTGATTCTCCTGTCAGGAAGCTGCTGATTGGTTGTTTCCACATGATGAAAAAAGTGTGAATAAAATGTTCAAAGGCTGATGACTGAATCAGTTACCAGTTACGTGCTTCAATTTATCACCGTGCCGTTGTGGTCAAGGGAGCCCAAAGCCAAGCATTCTGGGAGACCTGGCGTCTGATTGGCTGTTTCCTGTGCTTGATTTCAGAACATGTGACGTCTAACGCCAGTGATAGTGAAAGTAGCTACCGTAAGTTTTACCGCCGCTCTGCAGACGGTCACTAACGAGATGAAGTATGACAGCTAACCCTCTCATTGGCCGAATGAACTCTGACTGCTGATTATTTAGCAGAGCTAACCCTCTGATTGGCCGAATGAACTCTGACTGCTGATTATTTGGTAAAGCTAACCCTCTGATTGGCTAAATGAACTCTGATTGCTGATTATTTAGCAGAGCTAACCCTCTGATTGGCTAAATAAACTCTGACTGCTGATTATTTAGCAGAGCTAACCCTCTGATTGGCCGAATGAACTCTTGACTGCTGATTATTTGGTAAAGCTAACCCTCTGATTGGCTAAATGAACTCTGACTGCTGATTATTTAGCAGAGCTAACCCTCTGATTGGCCGAATGAACTCTTGACTGCTGATTATTTGGTAAAGCTAACCCTCTGATGGGCTAAATGAACTCTGACTGCTGATTATTTAGCAGAGCTAACCCTCTGATTGGCTAAATGAACTCTGACTGCTGATTATTTAGCAGAGCTAACCCTCTGATTGGCTAAATGAACTCTGACTGCTGATTATTTGGTAAAGCTAACCCTCAGATTGGCTAAATGAACTCTGACTGCTGATTATTTAGCAGAGCTAACCCTCTGATTGGCTAAATGAACTCTGACTGCTGATTATTTGGTAAAGCTAACCCTCTGATTGGCTAAATAAACTCTGACTGCTGATTATTTAGCAGAGCTAACCCTCTGATTGGCCGAATGAACTCTTGACTGCTGATTATTTGGTAAAGCTAACCCTCTGATTGGCTAAATGAACTCTGACTGCTGATTATTTAGCAGAGCTAACCCTCTGATTGGCCGAATGAACTCTTGACTGCTGATTATTTGGTAAAGCTAACCCTCTGATTGGCTAAATGAACTCTGACTGCTGATTATTTAGCAGAGCTAACCCTCTGATTGGCTAAATGAACTCTGACTGCTGATTATTTGGTAAAGCTAACCCTCAGATTGGCTAAATGAACTCTGACTGCTGATTATTTAGCAGAGCTAACCCTCTGATTGGCTAAATGAACTCTGACTGCTGATTATTTAGCAGAGCTAACCCTCTGATTGGCTAAATGAACTCTGACTGCTGATTATTTAGCAGAGCTAACCCTCTGATTGGCTAAATGAACTCTGACTGCTGATTATTTAGCAGAGCTAACCCTCTGATTGGCTAAATGAACTCTGACTGCTGATTATTTGGTAATGCTAACCCTCTGATTGGCTAAATGAACTCTGACTGCTGATTATTTAGCAGAGCTAACCCTCTGATTGGCTAAATGAACTCTGACTGCTGATTATTTAGCAGAGCTAAACCTCTGATTAGCTAAATGAACTCTGACTGCTGAATATTTAGCAGAGCTAACCCTCTGATTGGCTAAATGAACTCTGACTGCTGATTATTTAGCAGAGCTAACCCTCTGATTGGCTAAATGAACTCTGACTGCTGAATATTTAGCAGAGCTAACCATCTGATTGGCTAAATGAACTCTGACTGCTGATTATTTAGCAGAGCTAACCCTCTGATTGGCTAAATTAACTCTGACTGCTGATTATTTAGTAGAGCTAACCCTCTGATTGGCTAAATGAACTCTGACTGCTGATTATTTAGTAGAGCTAACCCTCTGATTGGCTAAATGAACTCTGACTGCTGATTATTTAGTAGAGCTAACCCTCTGATTGGCTAAATGAACTCTGACTGCTGATTATTTAGTAGAGCTAACCCTCTGACCAGTTTAACAAAATCACTACTGATTGTTTTTTAAAGGCTAACTCACTGATTGATTATTGCACTGCTATAGGTGGCTGTACATTGGAGCAGCTCTTGGTAGTTTGATTCTGATCTTCCTTTTAGAGAATTTCCTCCATTTATGTTTCTGCGCTTTTTACCGTCGGTGTTGGATGATGTGCAGCTGAAAGGATTTTTGCCAGTATAATTTTGTGTAATTTTTGACATTTGTTACGATGTGTAACAATAGCAGCCATAAAAAGTTTTTTTTTAGGGAGGTGGGTTGGCGGTGGATGTAAACAGCTGGTATCATGTAGGACTCGTTACACTGAAGCTTTGTCTCTGCATCCCAGATAGTTTACTGTTGATTTTTTTTCACTAGATAGTTCACTAGTGTTGTTTTGACAACTGTTTTCATTCCACCTTGTGCTTCTGCTGACACTGCATGTGATGTCATCACTTCTATTAGTTGTGATTATAATAACCGCCCCTTCTCTGCTACACTACCAACCATTAACAGCCTTTTCTCCTCAGAGTGTAAGTCACTTTATAGTGGCAGCCTGTATTAAAGAGAACTATGAGAAGAAAGGTTTATCACTACAGGGACTTAGTATGAGCTTAACTACACCTTATAACTTATAAACCCGGGATCATCAGCGTTCTGAAAGAACTGCTAAACAATAAAGGAGTCTTTAGACAGTCAGGGATATATTGAGGAGTATACAGAAGGACCTTAAGGTCAAGATAAAGAGAGCTAAGAGGCATAAAGGAAGAGGCTGGAAAACAAGATTTAGCAGAACGATATCAGAGAGGTGTGGTCAGGGATCAAGAAGATCCCCAGCTTCAAGCAGAAGGATGACCAGACAGATGGAAGTCTGGACAGAACTCATTCTTCAACAGGTTCAGTTCAGGAACATGTTCGAAATCATCCCATCCTGCTCAGTTACATGGACATCCCAAACCCTTCGACCCAAAGCTTCTCTCTCACACCTCAAATGTCTCATCTTCCACCTGTGCAAAGGACCCTCCTGTAGAGCAGCTCTGTATGATTCTACAGCCCCTCTTCACTCTTAGTCTGACCCAGGAATCAGTTCCAGTGACGTGGAAGACCTCCTGCCTTGTTCCAGGATCAAGAAGACTCAGCCAACAGTCCTCAGTGACTATAGAGCTGCTGTCCTGACATCCCACATCATAAAGGTCCTAGATAGACTCCCGTTGGTTCCCCTCAGCAAGCGAACAAGCAGCCATCAGGAGCCCCTACAGTCTGCTTATTGCTGTGGAGTTGATGATGCCATCATACACCTGCTTCAACAAACCCACTGTCATTTAGACAAGGCAGACAGCACTGTGAGGATCAGGTTCTTTGATTTCTCCAGTGCATTACATTTCTCATAAAACCTAGAAGACAAAAAGTGACTGGGATCAAAGAGCAGCTGACCAACAGTACACAGTTTGTCAGACTGAAGCATCAGCTGTCTAATGAAGTATTCAGCACCACAGGGGGCGGTACTCTCTCTATTCATTTTAACTCTGTACACGTCTGACTTCCAGGACCAGACAGAGTTCTGCCATCTGCAGCTATCAGAATCACCCTACCAGTCACTATAGCAACAGAACTTTGCTCTGGGATTAGGAGTGTTTTTGAATTGATTGGCTTAATGGAGTCTGGCTGCTGATTGGTGTTTATAGCTGGATGAACTCTGCTGATTGGGCAGACAGGCTTCCAAAGTTCCACTATGTTGTAAACCCTGTAGTTCAGGGTTTTTAGGTTTATATTTATGGTCCTAAACTCCCCTGATGATCTTGATGTATAATTATGATCTCTGTAGGAAGTTTGTCTAATCTATGATTAGTTAACTTATTGTCGAGCTTCATCCTTTCACATCGTTTCATTCCCAGACCATTTCCCCTTCTTTTTCTTTTTTTGCCCTCTCAGAAATGACTGATCTATAAAAGACCTAAACCTGGAATAATTATTTAAATGCATGATATGAAGAGGTTGATGTTTTTTTATAAATTGTCACATTGAGGCTTTAATAACAAAGTTTAAGAGCCTGTTGTCTGGTGTTACTAGAACCTCTCCTGATGGGTTTTAAGCTCAGGTCTGATTCTTGATGTTTGTGGTGAAAAATTTAGGGCCTACAGAAAGAACATGGTGCATGAAAGCTAACATCTGCTTTTCTGAAGCTTTTTCCTCATTAAATAAAAAAAAATCTGGTTTTAACATCAGGAGCTCTGCTTTCATCTCTAATTACCGCTTCTTGTCCAAATGATCTAAACCTGTAAGGTTTTAAGAATTTAAAGAGACTTTTTTAATATATATATGTATTTTAAATTAAGCTTTTTCTCTCATAATATCTAGTTAGTTTTATGATTTTTGCAGGTTAAACATATCCGAGTTTCTTTTCCTCCTCCTTGGCCTTCATCCCTCAGCATTACTCCTCCCCCTCCAGCTGAATCCATGTCAACATTTCTCTTTTTACTCTCAGGTGGAGCGGAGGAGTACGTTCTGTCCTATGAGCCGGTTGTTCAGCAGGAAGGTGAGTCTCTGTGAAATGTTAAAAAGGTTCCTCCAGTCTGACCGAGGTCATGAACCCGGAACCAAGAACCCGCTGAAACGCCAGAAAAGGACCAAGAGTTGTTTCCTGACAGAGTAAAATAATTCAGATCTAGATGACAGAAAAGCAGCTTTAAAACAAACTGACGTCCAAATGGAGAGAAATGGAGCTGAAGGACTTCAGAGCTTCACCGACTCGTATAGATTCTCAGGCTTAAATCATGTCTTCAGTAATTTTATCTCAGGGGCCCAAATGCTGTTAAAATCACCTGCAAGAGAAATTTCACAATGGAAAAAACATTTTTTTATATGTTGATGTGAGAAAAAAAAATACTAAACTATTTACTTTAGTTAAATAAATGGAGATCAATGAATTTCACTGAGTCAGCACTTCATTTTTATCTTTGTAAAGAGAGAACAGTTCATCATATGGCCGTTAATGCATGGTAATCAGCCCTGTTCTGCCTGCGCAGCGTTCGTTCCCCCTTTAATTAGAACAATGGAAAGTAGTCGGAGTCATAACAGTAACATGTAATGAATAAACCTTGAGAAAGAATCTGGTTTGTTATGGGAAGAAGCTATGGCTGGCCTACAAACGGCCTTACAGATAAAACAGGATGAGTGAACATTTTTATAGTGAGTAAATAGGATCGATCAATATACAAAATGAGAGACGGTAAATAGTCCGACCACCGTTTAATAGAAGGGTGTGATTTTTAAAAGTAATCAGATATACATATAGAAAAAAAAATTGGATTTTATTAATACAATTAAAGTTGAAAGTACAAATTTATTATGAATTGATTTAGTTATAAAAATAAAGTGATGTTTCATTAAACTTTAGTCTTACATTTTAATGATTAGATTCGATGGATAAATGATTATAATCACAGTGTTATAATGAAAGAGGAATTTCAGCTTTCAGACATCGGGAATTTGGCCTCATGACTCATAAATTAGGTTGAAGTTTGAGAGAATTAATGAATTGATTAGAGTATAAAGATTGTTATGCTGCCACCTGCTGGACAATTCAGCTATGACCTTTCATTAGAGTAAATATAACCTCATGATATGAAGCTTATTTCTTCATATTAAAAATTATATTTTTCCAGTTAAAACCAGAACATTTCTGATTGGATCTGGATCCATTTTTTCCCTCCCCTCTGACAGTGAACTACACCCGACCCGTCATCATCCTGGGACCCATGAAGGACCGGATCAACGACGACCTGATCTCAGAATTCCCCGATAAATTCGGCTCCTGTGTCCCACGTAGGTCCCACCAACATTCCCCTGGTTCTCTTGTTCCAGAGGATACCTGACCCGTTCTGATCTCTGTTCCTCATCCCGCTCTCAGATACGACCCGGCCCAAACGAGACTACGAGGTAGACGGCAGGGATTACCACTTCGTGGTCTCCAGAGAGCAGATGGAAAAGGACATCCAGGATCACAAGTTCATCGAGGCGGGCCAGTACAACAACCACCTGTACGGAACCAGCGTCCAGTCGGTCCGAGAGGTGGCAGAGAAGGTACGGAACCAGAGGGAAGAACATGCTTCAGGTTTTCCTGGTTGTTTCAGAAACATCCCTACATGGACGAGCAGACTGTCTGAATCTCAGCTGTAGAGGCATCAGAACATCATGTTGGGTTCTGTGTTCTGTTCAGGGTAAACACTGCATCCTAGACGTGTCGGGCAACGCCATCAAGAGGCTCCAGCTGGCTCTGCTTCACCCCATCGCCATCTTCATCAAACCCAAATCTGTGGAGAACATCATGTGAGTTTTCCGGTCCGGTGTTACCGATCTGGTTCTGGTGTTTCTTTTTTGGTTGAAACCTTCCTGCTCCTCTTGCAGGGAGATGAACAAACGTCTGACGGAGGAGCAGGGCCGGAAAACCTTAGACAGAGCCGCCAAGCTGGAGCAGGAGTTCACCGAGCATTTCACAGGTGAGGCGGGTTCTGGTCCGGTTCACCTAACTGGTGAGACTCATCATCCCTTAGGTTCTTTCTTAAGAACGAGTCTATCAGGGTTCTGTGTGGTTCTGCTGGGCCCGCTGGTCCCTCTACCTGCTGGTTTGAGTTCTGACCCGATGTGTCGCTCTGTGCCTGCAGCCATCGTTCAAGGCGACACGCTGGAGGAGATCTACGAGCAGGTGAAGCAGATCATCGAGGAGCAGTCTGGTCCCTTCATCTGGGTTCTGTCCAAGGAGAAGTTATGAGACCCGGCGCCGGCTTCATCTCTCCTCCTCTTCATCACTTTGTTTTATTTTGGAAAGAAGCATGGACCGGCAGACGGCAGCCTCACCTCTACTTCCATCCATCTCCCCAAGGCTTCATGTTCCTTTCCTTGGAAGCACACAGGAAGTGACATCACACGGTACAGCTCCTTAATGTTTAAGGACGGAGGATTTCAGAGGAGAAGAACAAGAGTTCAAAAATGTACAACACAAATTCTTTGGTTCTTTTTCTTTTGGCTGTTGTGGGTTTTTTTTTTTTTTCCAGCCAGAACCTCTGGCAACGTTTGTTTGGATCGGAGGAAGCAGAGACACAAAAAGCAGAACTTTGCACGTTTGAGCTTTAACAGCATGTTGGTTTAGACCCGTTTGTTTCCCATCAGCCCCTTCACCTCAGCGTCTGACATCACAACTCCTTACATTATTTTTTTTTTTATTAAATCTTTTTAGTTTTTAACATTTTTCCCTCCTCACTGCCACATGATGTTCGTCAGGAGGCTGCAGGCCCATCACACTGCTGCTAGAGGGCGCCAGAGACCTAAATACTAAAATGTAAAGTTTTAACAGTTAAAAGCTCAAATCAAAACATGTTAAATATAATTAATAGACTGAAACCAGAAACTTTTGGTGTTGAATTAGTTGATGCGTGAATCACTGAATGGATTTCGATCGATTCAACTGAAACTAAACTTTAAAACTGATAAAAATATATAAAAAAACATTTCAAATAACTTTTGTGCCAAAATCAAAAAAAGTAGCTTCAAATCATAATTTAAAAGCTTAGTTTTACAAAAAGGATCATCATAGCAATCAAAGCAAAGCTATATATATTTATTTTATTAATAGAAAGATTTTATATTGACATGAACCAGTAATTCATTAAAATGACCATTTTAGTAAAAAAAAATAATTTCTTTAACTTTTTTTTTTTTATCAGAATCACGTATATTATATTTTATCCTTTCAAAAATATTAAGAATTATATTTTTACTTTATAGTCTAAAATTGTGCCAAAATCTGTGAAAATTTATTTCACCTCTGGAAGCATAGATTAGCACAATTTTTATAAATGAGCGTTAACAATTTACTCTGTTACAGAGAAAAAGAAACAAATGTTCATATTAGAAAATTATATCAAAGAGAAATTAAGTTTCTATATAATGTATAAAATGTTTAAAACTTTAGAGATAAATATTTACTTGTTAAAACTGGAGGAAAAAAAACAATGCAGTAAAACTAAGAAAAAGAAAAATCTTATCAAAACTTCTTCCTCTGAAGAATATTTACAAATAAAATTAAAAACTCAGGAAGGAAAATAACGTTTTTGCCTTAGGATGGAAAACATCTATCATAAACATAAAAACAAGTTATTTTTAAAAGCTTAATTGCACAACATCCATGATTTAAATGTTTTTAAATCAGTAGCAAATAACCAGATCTGGAGAGATATAAAGTTTACATTAAATGTAATAATAGACACCTTTTGAACCAGTTTACCTCATTCTAACATGAAATCTAAAAAGGCATTAAAACAGTTTTAAATGTAGTGTTTCCGTGGCAACATCATTCTGTAGGCTCAGTGGCGCCCTCTGGCATTGAAGTGAGCCCATCAGTTGCTATGGCGACGTCTATCAGCAGAGTCAGTGTCTTACCACGTGTTGTTGTGGCTGCACCTGGAGCTGCAGCGCCCCCTGCAGGCGCTCACAATGAGATTTGGACAGATATTTAACCTTTGGGTAAACTGCCTATTTTGTTATAATGAAAGTCTATATTGAACTTTACTTCAGCACTACGACTACGGGGATTATTTTCTTTGCTTTGTTAATCAGATATGAATAGAGACGTATAAAGAGATTTGAATATGAATATATATTTTTCTTTTTCTTTGATCACCTCCTCCTTTGTCTTTTAATTTTCTTTTTTAAGCATAATAAAAAAATTAACAAGAAAACCCAAAGTGCGGCTCGACTCGTTTCTCTGCAAAACGCTGTGAAGCTTTCCTATAACTTTTATCTAAAGCTTTGACGATTCTCCTTAGAGCATCCAGGTTCTTCTAGCCTCCCTTCTACTGGGGCTGACTGAGGTTCAGGGAGACAGAAGCAGACGTGAGGAACGTACAGGCGCTGATCCAGGACTAATATCTGATAGAAAAGTAGGTTAGTCGCATCAGTTCCCAATGCAGTGGCTTCAGGTAAGAAAAAAACTCAGAGACAGTATTTAAGGTTTTAAGATGCAAGAGTTGACTGTTGACATCTGTATCCATAATGGACCCTGGTATCCAGTAGTCTAGTTGTAAAAAGAAAAGGGGTGGAATTTTTTATTTTTTTATAAATAGCCTAATTAATATATTCTATTAAGCTAAAGCACTATGCATGGTAATGTTACATGTCAGGTACGCCGGTCACTGACCTTGACCAAGGCACCTTACAGTAGAACTGTAGTCAGTCCTGGACTGGCATGGCTATCACTGCCCCTACTGAGTTAGCATGGCTATCCCTGCCCCTACTGAGTTAGCATGGCTATCCCTGCCCCTACATAGTTAGCATAGCTGTCGCTGCCCCTACACAATTAGCATGGCTATCGCTGCCCCTACATAGCTAGCATGGCTATCGCTGCCCCTACATATTTAGCACAGCTATCACTGCCCCTACATAGCTAGCATGGCTATCGCTGCCCCTACATAGCTAGCATGGCTATCGCTGGCCCTACACAGTTAGCATGGCTATCGCTGGCCCTACACAGTCAGCATGGCTATCGCTGGCCCTACACAGCATGGGTATCGCTGCCCCTACACAGCATGGCTATGGCTGGCCCTACACAGTTAGCATGGCTATCGCTGGCCCTTCACAGTTGGCATGGCTATCGCTGCCCCTCCTGCCTCTACACAGTTAGCATGGCTATGGCTGGCCCTACGCAGTCAGCTTGGCTATCGCTGGCCCTACACAGTTAGCATGGCTATCGCTGGCCCTTCACAGTTGGCATGGCTATCGCTGCCCCTACTGCCTCTACACAGTTAGCATGGATATCGCTGCCCCTACACAGTTAGCATGGCTGTGGCTGGCCCTACGCAGTCAGCATGGCTATCGCTGCCCCATACACCACAGGTGTCAAACCGGTTCCAGAAAGGGCCGTGTGGCTGCAGGTCTTCTTTCCAACCAAGCAATAGCACACCAGACTCCAGTCATCTCATCAAGTGAGTCCAATCTGAACATGATGACTTGATGAGATGACTGGAGTCTGGTGTGCTATTGCTTGGTTGGAAAGAAGACCTGCACCCACACGGCCCTTTCTGGAACCAGTTTGACACCCCTGCCATACACAGTCAGCATGGCTATCGCTGCCCCTACACAGTTAGCATGGCTATCGCTGCCCCATACACAGTCAGCATGGCTATGGCTGCCCCTACACAGTCAGCGTGGCTATGGCTGCCCCATACACAGTCAGCATGGCTATTGCTGCCCCATACACAGTCAGCATGGCTATCACTGTCCCTACACAGTTAGCATGGCTATGGCTGGCCCTACGCAGTTAGCATGGCTATGGCTGGCCCTACACAGTCAGCATGGCTATGGCTGCCCCTACACATTTAGCATGGCTATGGCTGCCCCTACACAGTCAGCATGGCTATGGCTGCCCCTACACAGTCAGCGTGGCTATGGCTGCCCCATACACAGTCAGCATGGCTATCGCTGCCCCATACACAGTCAGCATGGCTATCGCTGCTCCATACACAGTCAGCATGGCTATCACTGTCCCTACACAGTTAGCATGGCTATGGCTGGCCCTACGCAGTCAGCATGGCTATCACTGGCCTTAAGTAGTTAGGGACAAATTGCCCTAACTATCTGCTTCATAGTCATGGTAGGTTTCTTCTTTGATTACTTTGTCCAGGCTACTAGTAAGCCCACAGCCTGCCAAATGTTGAAAGGGTAATATTATTGCCATTACTGTTAATATATAGTAGAAATTTTACACATTCAGTAATAAAACGTCACAGGATGGTATGGGGGGATGGTCATTTAAGAAGGGAGATGATTTTTTGGATTGTTTTAAGAAGGGGGATCCGATCCCCCCCTAATTCAGGTACTGCTGGTACCCACTTTTGGATGTGGGCGTGGACCCACACTGGTGTGCAATCATGATATGGAGGCAGCTCATTCACAAAATTGATCGCATGCAGGCCAAACTAAAATCCAGGTCTCTGTGTCTTATCTTGCCTCTGTCTTAACCCAGGTGATCAGCTCTTGTAGAGATGGCTGCGAAACAATGACAGTAAAAGCTTAGCCAATAGCTGTAGGACCAGTGGATCATCTATAGGAGAACATAAAGTGCCGTCAGGGTGCTACCAGCACCAGGTAATACGGAACTACTTTCAAGAGCAGGAAAAATTAAAACTAGGTTAAGATACAAGCAATGATGCAGAATTGGACAGGAGAAGGAAATAGTAGTTGAGAGGGAAATAAGTGTCCTCTATTGCACAAACTTTCTTAATGCCCCTTTCCCACTGGCCGAAAAACCCATTTAAACCTGGGACTAATTAGTGGCAGTGAAAAACCCCGATATTCAGTGGGAAAGTGGCTTATAATACCTCATTCTCATTGGCCAAAAAACCTATTTAAACCCGGGAACAATCAGCTTTTATTGGCAGTGGGAACAGCTCACTGATGTGTGTCTACCTGGGTCAAACGACTCGGCAAGCGACCCGCATTGAAATTGCCTTAGGTTACTTCTGATCTAACATGCCAAAACTACCCTGTTTATGTTTGATAAGCATGGAGCAGCTCTGGAGAGAGGGATTCAGACAGATAATAAATTGAAACAGAGAATACTGACTACTTCCTTACATTTTGCTCACCATTGTTTACGTTCCTGCTTTCTGTCACACTGTTCTGCGACAGAAAAAAGGTAAAATGAGGCTGCCTGCGAGGGAATAGAGCAGTTTTTATTGCAAATGGGAAGGGAGCTAAAAGCTGGTTGTTAGCGGGTTGACCTATGTTTGAAACACACACTAACCCTCTATTTTCAATGGGAAAGAGGCTATCTATGACAGTGACATTTTAGTTCTGGTGTGAATTGTCAATCAGATAATTCAATACGCATCAAAACACATGTCAAAATATGATTTATCAAAATAGATCTTGATTTGCTAACAAATTATATAGAAGGCGGTTTTTTCATTATCCTTCTGGAAAACCTTATCTTTACATTAATACACTTTCCACACAAAGACTCCTCTATGAAATACATTTCATTTATGAGAACAGTGCAAATGTAGAAAAAAAAAGGTTTTCTAAAGCCAACATGTGTATGTAAATCAGTGAGTAGAAATGTTTCTGGTTTGAACTGCTGAAATTATGACTGTTTTTTATTTTAATTTTAAAGCGCCTTACATTATTAACATTGTTTCCACTATTGCAAAGCAGCCACTATAAGCATAGGTGTAAAACATTTGTTGAGTTTAAGAAAAGCCTTTGAACATAAAACAGTGGAACAAACAAGTGAGAACATGAGAACTCTTGGTACATAGGTTCTCATCCATTTATTTTTATTTGGATTCTTGTGTAAAAATACAATCTGGTCTATGTTTTCAGCTTTTAGAAAACTTCTTTCAGCAGAGACGTCTCTTGCAGTGAGAAAACTCCTGCAGAGACACTCTAGTACCATAGAAGCAGAGGCAACCCTTTGCTTCTTTACAGACATTAAGGCAATCTGA